GAGTTACAGGAAGAACACAAGAAGAGGTGCATTAGAGTATTTACAGCGCATGTGCATGGTTAAGGTGTTCAGCAGTATAGCCTAGTAGCGAGAATATATCAGCCCAGATCACTAAAGATGAGAAAAAACAGGAGCTCCTAACATGTCTGCAGTCCCATGGAGCAATTTATGACATTTAAGAACAACGCAGGCTTTGTGAAAATCAGGAAGGCCAAACTGGAGCATAAAAATACCCTAACCAAGACCCAGGGCCATCAGAAAGGTCGCTGTCTTTGTTTGTTAAGCAGCCAGCAAAGAAAATAGCAGAAAGTTCATTCTAGCTGCACCCTGACCCAACTGCACAGAGCAGAGAGCCACAGAAACAGAGAACACAGAAACCGAAGTTGACAAATCGACAGTTTTTGGATGGAAATGAAACTACTGTAACCTTGTAACCTATTCATTTCTCCCCGGGTCAACCGTACGCACTCCTGCCAGTTCACCGGGAGAAGATATACTCGGTGTAGCTGGTCCACAGCTTGTCCTCTCCGGGGTCATTACTGCCGTATGAGCAGGTCCCGGTGGAGTTACAGGCCACCATGTGGAAACCAGCCTCGGCCAGCCGGTCAAACGCCTGCTCCAGAAAGTTGTACTTGAGGTAATACCTGGAGGTGTACTTGTCAGGTGGTCTGTCCGGGTCGCGGCTTTCGTTCAGGGTTTCCCCAAACACCTCCTTAGCCAGCGAAATTTTGCTGCACACGGTTATTCTGGCCACCCTGCGGAACTTGGCGTCCGCCTGGATGTCTCTCCCGATGGTGTAGCTGCCTCTGTAGCCGATGGTTATGTAGCCGGAAGTGGCTCCGGGGGACCGCAGGGTTCGGTCCGAGGAAGAAGAGGTGACCGGGCTGCAGAGCTCAGCCTCCTCCGGCTCCCCGCTGTCCTCCGTGTACGAGCTGTCTTTGCTCACCGTCGCCAGGCGCCTCGACAGCTCGGGCAGCTGGAAAAAGTCCGCTTCTTTCTGCAGCCTCCGCCTCTCTTTGAAAAACTCCGGCAGGGAAAGCTCGGAGTCCCGTAGATAATCCAAAATGTACCGGAAGAGAAAGCCGTCCCGGTCGAAGAAGAAGCGGCCCTTGCTGTCTTTCGGCAGGGCGGCCGGGGAGCTCTGAGTGAACTTGGTCCACAAGAGAGAGTTGGGCACCGCAGTGAGAGTTTCAAGACGGGTCACATACACCTGGCCGCCCACGTTTAGCTCCACTATCTCAGGAAAAGTTGAACTTTGGCTGTCGGTTAGTGCCATCTCTCTCACTCTCTCCCCCTTCTGTCTCTCTCAGTCTGTCTGTGTCGCTTTTAGGCGACCTAACAAGGAAGGATAGTTGGGGAGTATCCTCACTGTACAGAAATGTTTATATTGGTTTGGCTGTGTGGGAGGAGAAGGAAAAGGATGACCAACAGAGACATTAACTGTTCGGCGGAAAGCTCTGAAAAAACAGAATGCTGCTTTTAAGGTCTGCATGTAAGCCTCGACTTCCTAGATTCATATCTATCTGTGATATTCTAGCAGGGGTGCAAAGTGACACAGTTTATTTGTTTAACACCGATCTTAATCTCTGAAGCAACAAGTTTTTTTTTTCTTCTATTTTCTACTTGTTCTTTGTTTAACTGGGAGCGAATGACTTGAGATAAACCCTTTTTGCAAGTGTTTTCCACCCAAGATAAGCAACAAGAAGTCAAGAAGCAGAGTAAAATACAGAAATCTCCTAGAGTGTATAAAGATCAGTATAGTCATCTTTTAAACCCCTACTGGCCTGTAGGCTTGCATTCTGAAGCCTCGATTTTAGCACCGAGGCAGATTCGATTTGTTGAAGCCAAGCCTGGCTGTATTTGAAAGAAAGCGTAAAGCATACTAACAGTTAACATTGGAAGGCTTGATTTGCTGCAAGTGTGCATGGTACAGGCTCAGACTTGCCAGCTGTTGCAAAGTAACACCAAAGCTGCAGTACAGACTTCTTAGACTGTCTGTTAGCACAAATTAGTATATTTGACATATTTAGTTACAATACATAAAAAATAAATAATAATAACAAGCCCAAAGGCAGCAAAATGAAAAACACAGTGAAGCAGTCCAGTTGAGTCCAGCACTTGTCAGTGGCAAGGGCTCCAATAATGCAAATTTTAAGCCTTAATGCAACTCAGACCTTGATACTGTTATCTGAGGTAGAGAATTTGGCACAGAGACTTAAAAGTGCAATTTGTACCAGGCTGTAAACATGTGTATTTGGCTCTAAAGTTTGCTGTTTTAACATAAAAGTCTGCAGGGACTGCCTTTTTTGAGTTTTTTTAAAGTAAGTAAGTAAGTTTTACTTATATAGCAACTTTCAAGACAAAGATCACAAAGTGCTTTATAAAAAAAAAAACTGAGTTTTTGGCGCTTTCACACGGTTATTTTTTTAACCCTTGAAGGGGTAGTGATAATCAGGAAAAACTCTACACCCTTCCACCCCCACCCCGTCAGTGTGATTGGACTATAACACTGCTAATCTTACGATGCCCAACACCGTTGGATGAGAGCATGGGTAGGGCCAGTATGAATGGAAATGAGTACATCAACTCAGCAGTACTTTGTGCATAGTTTAATTATTTCTGTTTTGCTACTTTCTGCTTTTACACCCTTATGCCCCCCTTATTTATTTTAAAGCTTTAGTCGCTTATTCTTTTTGCACATTAATTGCATGATTACAGATCAATCAATCGCATATAGCACCATTTAAGATAAAAAGTGTCATTCTGTATAATGAGTGTGTTTACGTTAAGTACTTTAAATCTATTTTGAATGTACAACTTGTGCATTATTAAGCTACTTAAGTAGAATTGTACATTTTATGTTTCAAGTATAAGTCTAAATACTATTTCCACTTTGCAGAATAATAATCCATCTTATTTCTTATGAAATATTCTGATTTGCTACTCCCTCACCCCCATTTCTGTTGCTTCTTCCATGCCGCCCAATTTAAAAAAGTCTGGAAGCACCCCTGCCTTCAGCTTGTATCGCTGATTTTACAACTGATCCCAAGCAGAGAAAGCAGCATATTTAGATGCTTGTTTAACTTCCAGTAGACCTGTAAAACGGTGTACGCTAATCATCTTTCAAACATAAAAGGGAAGCAATATTTTTTTTAAAAACCCTTTTATTTTATTAACGCTACGCAAACAAAATATTATGTCTTACAAGATTTGCCTTAGGCATCGTGCAGGTGAATGAATGGTGAATGTTGTGATCACCTGCTCTAATGCCTTTGCAGCTCACACACTGCTTTAAGTATTGTAAGTTAAAAATGTTTTGATATCTCTGACAACATTCAGAAAGGCCAGGATAAAACTTATTTTTATATGTGCAAGCAGTATGCTTAGCTGGGACCGCATGCTCCAGTGGTTTTCATACCCCATCATTGAGAACCAGCAGCAGACAAGTTGTTTTTATGAACAAGTTATTATGACATCTACAACAGCCCTCTGACTCCATTATGTTTACATGGAGTTCAACAGTATTAATAACACTTTATTTAATCTGTCACATAAAGTAAGTGGCATGATTACAAAAAGCTACGATAACTGTAAACAGTTTGACCCGAGGCTTCTGCCCAAGCACTTGTTTTTCCTGTTTTTTGCTTATTAATGGCCTCTTGTTGATGTTGGCTCAAAAGCTGCACTCACAAAACAAGTTCAACAGCTTTTGTAGTTTCATAAGAGCTGGATTCATCTGCAGGAAGCCTATGTAATGTAACTTTAATATATTTAAATATGTCTTGTAATTATTATATGTAAATTTGATGTTTAAAAAATATGATTTCATTAAAAGCATTGTTCAAATGAGTGGTGCTTGTGGCTGTAGTTTGTAGATTTCTTGTCATAGAAGAACTTTCTCCTCTGGACTCTGCAGAATTTAAAGTTATCTACAGACCTCCCCAGTTAAGAAATTGAAGCAAAACAGGAAAGGTCTACATTGATGAACGATCCTTGAATTGGTTCCAAAATGAGACAGTTTATTTGTGCCTGGGGTCTTGGTGTGTTCACTACCAGACTAAAAGTAGAATTAAGCAGGAATTCAATATAAATGATGTACCAACATAAGCCCAAACGCTGCACTGATTTCAGCTTAGGACCAAAGACCTCTTTGATGTAGTCTCGAAGCATGCCGAAGGCTGTATCCATATTTCAGTCCACCCTCCATTATTACTTCAGAGGACGACCACTGACACTATTGCACATAGTCTTAGAAGAAGATGTAATTGGTCTGTTATCTCAGATAATGAATTTTGTTTGACACACAAACTGTTCATAGGAGAGACTGCTGATTCAGATCAACCTGTGCTGCTGAAAAGAACCGTTGTCATAAAGTTTCTTGGGAATAAGCAACATCTGAGAGAGAGCACAAAGATTCAGAAATATGATGCACATAATGTACAGTATCAAGACCAGTTGAGATAATGTTGCACTAAATTTTGTTTTACATAAATGTTATGTAGCATGAAACATAGATTTCAGGTTTTCATACATGAAAACATGAAATTCTACCATCAGCTTTCTAAACAAACTACTACTTTTGAATACAGCTCTCTAAGTGTCCGGCTCTTGCTGCTGAGAGCACATGAGCTTTCCTGGCTCTTAAAGTTCTTGATTTTACAGGAAAAGCTTCATTTTGTCACCCTACTTTCTCTAAAGCCAGTTTCAAACTCTGGACTAGAGTGACATCTAGTGGACAGTTAGAGAAGAAGCGGTTCATCTTGATTTTCTTGCTCATTGTAGCTGTGGGGTTAAGCAAAATGGGTTCGAGGTGTTTAGATGCAGTTACATCAGCAGTTATTACATCTTTCTACCATCTTTGTCCTGTTAGACCCACATGTCCAAAATCAGATTTTTATTCTAACACCATAAAGAAGGATTGAGGAATGTGCCTAATTAGATGACGCGATTAATTCTTCCATTTTCTTCTGCTATTGCAATTCAGGGCCAACACAGAACCATTCACAAATTAACATTAATTCCAGTAACCGCATGTCTTTGGACTGTGGACCCTGGAGTACAAAGAATATGCTTACCACACGGAAATGCTCTGGCTAGATGGTGGATTTGACCCAGGACGTTCTTGCTGTGAGGTAATAATGCTAAACACCATGCTTTAGTGGTGACTGGGTGGTAGGGTAATCATCTTTAATATAAGTACCCTAAATATTTGAACAAATATAACCACATTTTATGAAAAGAACAATATTTATTAATATTTGAAACACACTTAACTTGGGACACAGGAATGATTGTAGAAAAGTTTTCTTCAACAACTGCAATACACATGTATATTTTCAAAAGGTGACATCTCTGGCCCCTTTCTGGCCCCGACACAGTTGACTACAACACTTTCTTCTGGATTAAGCATCTCATATTCTCTTATTCATCTCTTATTCTGTGTTTCTCTTCATCCACCAGGATTGATTTTCAGTACTGGAGGGCTGAAAATGGACTTTCCCACCCCGTTCATGAGTGAGGTATGAAAAACATATGAAGCTAATTTTGTTAAGCACAGTGTTATTGTGAATTGCCCCTACTTAAAATGAATTCAATTGGGCTGAATTAAATTTCTTTAAAACATAACAACATCGTCCCCTTCAGAAAGCCAGCATGATTGTAGCTAAAAGAGCCTGCAATCACCATCTCTCCCCTTGTTTAGGGTTTGGCTATGTGACAGGATTGCACGTTTGTGTACTGAAGAGGTTCGCTATCATCTGGCTGACACTTTTGAATTTGTTGAAATCTCTGACCCTTTCCTCAATCATATTAACAGTGATTCAACATAATCTGTAACCCATTTGACTGCACTTTGTGTTTATGTGAAACTACACCTCTGCCGGATACTGATTCCTTCCTGGACTTGTTCCCCATATCTTCTGGGCTCAGTGAACTCCCTGTCTAACTTCACACAGAAGATTATTTGCTTTAGACTCTAGCATTTCTCTTGAACTTTTGATTTGGACTGACTAAGCAGTCTTTCTCTTTGCTTAGATGTTGTTGTTTTTTCACCCTTTGTCTGCTGTGATTTTATGGTAATTTGAAACATAAAATCTTATAACTAAACAGGGAGAACCATGAGAAAAAGTGTTTTTTAAGAGTAATCTGGCAAAGAGGATAGCAGAAATTGCAACAATAAAGATGTTTTAGATGGCCTAAAAGAAGTAACGTATTTTACCAAAATAAATAAGACATTACAGGCTCTGTAACGGATCCGCGACCCGGGTCCGGATCGGAGTCCACTTGCACAGCGAGTTTGGAACAGATCATGACTGGACCCGATTTGGATCGGTCGCTTCCCAGCTCATCTAGCCCGGATCCTTTGGATCCGTTGTTGATTATAAGCTAGAATGATGCCCGCTAACGTTTGGCTCGAGTCTCCTAAAACCACGCTTTCCCTCTGAGAAACAGTTTCATTACACTTTAATACCGTATTTAAATGACCGTGGTCTTCCCTCATTCTCATATACGTCACAATTTTCTCACAGCAAAATCAAACAAATTAGTGACAGTGAATATGGAAAAGTTTCCTTCATTCACTGCAACACACCTTTGCACATGGGCTCGTGAGCGCATGTGTTGTGCTGTATGAATTTTGACAATATGATGCGGTGTTTATAAAGGGACTGAGAAGGAAAGGTAAATTTCGAGCAAATTTCATTAAAAAAAAACAAAACAGATCTACGCTCATAACTTTGCGCGTGCGCACACGAAGTGCTGCTCTTATGGAACGCGCGTGCGTTATATTCGATTTGTGCATGTGTCTGTTTGTAACGTCGCTGAAAAAGCTGCGGTTTGAAATTTTTCTTCTGCACCTAAATTTTCTGGTTCAGATGAGTTCAGTGAGAAGCGCTAAACGTCCAAATTTACGGAAAAGCACACTTAGCGATTCAGTTTCTTCAACTTTCGTTTTAAGTGAAGGTAAGTGCAATCTTTAGACTAAAAATCAGCAAGTACAAAAACAGAGTATGTTTTGGCTTCACATCTTACTTTTAATATATGTGTTTCAAATCTAAACATTTTAAAAATGATATCCAGTTGATTATGTCAGAAAAGCACTTTTTAGTAGCTACATTCTACTGTAAAGGTGATTTTACTGCTTACCTGTTAGACGCAGCTTGTCTGATAAAAATTGATTTCCTTTTGTATATTAACTATAAAAACAAAGAGTTTTTAATTCTTAAAACCTTTTGATAGGATTTTGGGCCAAATTCATTTAGTTGCTTTGAGCTTTTCTTTACCGCTGTGGTGATTTCCTCTTTTTCTGAATTTTAAAAACTACATTGTGAACAAACAAACTGACATTTGAAAGAGATTTTTTGCAAGAAAAACAAGAAAATGTTGTGATCTGTTGCTATGATATGAATCATAACAATATGACGCTGGAAAAATAAAATTCTGTATTAAGAGCGCATTTCATATATGGGTGTGATTCAAATATAATTCTGTTCATTAAAAACAAAACAAGCTGGCACCGTGAAGTTTATATCTAAGAGAATCTGCACTGATTTGCACAGAGTTGCTTCTGATGGAAACATGCTCAAATCATAGTTATGAAGTCTGATAAGCTTTGTGTTAGAGACTCACTTAACCCCATGTTTCCCTTTCATTTTACAGCCATGTTGAGAAGAAGCCAAAGACTTCAGTCTAATGGCTATTACGGCCAAGGAGAGCCGTTAATCTCCTACAAGGTGACTTTACACAGGTTAGTGCTGGTCTACATGTTCTTTGTTGTCATCCACTGACATAAATGGTAAATGGTAAATGGCCTGTATTTATATAGCGCTTTACTAGTCCCTAAGGACCCCAAAGCGCTTTACATATCCAGTCATCCACCCATTCACACACTGGTGATGGCAGCTACATTGTAGCCACAGCCACCCTGAGGCGCACTGACAGAGGCGAGGCTGCCGGACACTGGCGCCACCGGGCCCTCTGACCACCACCAGTAGGCAACGGGTGAAGTGTTTTGCCCAAGGACACAACGACCGAGACTGTCCAAGCCGGGGCTCGAACCGGCAACCTTCCGATTACAAGGCGAACTCCCAACTCTTGAGCCACGATCGACATAGATGCATGTTTTGTAATCATAATCCATTTGTTCCTCCATGTACATTTTTTCTTACATGATTTTGTTTTTTCTATTCTGAATTTTTAAAAGGCGACAGCCCCGTCCAGTCCCTGACAATAACGACCAAGACACAGTTGAATACAACACTGATGACTGTGACACTGTGGACTACAACTACGATGACTGTGACACTGTGGACTACAACTATGATGACCGTGACACTGTGGACTACAACTATGATGACCGTGACACTGTGGACTACACCACTGATGATTTTATTGACTACAGTAGTGGCAGCAGCAGAGGTCTCTTTAGAGCCATCAAGGCATTGGGACTTTTGGTCCTCATGCTGGCCTTGTGTTTTGGTGAATGATCTCCTTCCACAAACAATTACAGTCTTTCTAGTACTATGTGCTTTTCTTCTGGATTAAGCTTCTCTTCTTATTCTGTGTTTCTCTTCATACACCAGGATTGATTTTCAGTATTAGAGGGCTGAAAATGGACTTTTCCACCCCGTTCATGAGTGAGGTATGAAAAACATATGAGGCTCATAATATGAAATGTACTTTTTTGCTGAAAATTTATTTAGATAATGCCAGTTTAATATTGTCATAAAGCTGTTACGTAAACGTAAATGGTCTCTTCTCAATTGTAGTACTCGGTGGACAGGCAGGTACAAGACATTCAGGATACCCGTGAGTACACTCTACCATTAGACACATGCACATAGACTTTTCTTACTTTGCTATCTGTATATCCTCCCTCATAATAATCACCATCTTTTTTTTGTCTCTCAGGACCACAGTGTAGATTTCATCCGCTACATCACGCTGCATCTACTGAACAAGTGGGGCAATTGCGAGGATTCGTGTCTACGCAGCTTTCGAGTTCAAAGAAAGCTGGCACAACCAAATTCCCATGAAACCATCTTTAAAAGAAAAGAGAGGAAAAATGTGAAAGTGAATCAGGCTGCAACACATATTTAAATATTGTATGAGGGAAAAAATGTCCATTTAATCCATTTTTTTCCTCAAGCGAATGTCCATCCTACCAGGTAAGACATGTCTGATTAAGATGTTTGCAGTCTGATTCACCTCACCCCCAACCAGCCGTGGCAGAGGGCTTGCCCCTCCCTGAGTCTGGCTCTGCCAGAGGTTTCTTCCTGTTAAAAGGGAGTTTTTCCTCTCCACTGTTGCCAAGTGCTTGCTCAAAGGGGATCATCTGATTGTTGGGGTTTTTCTTCTCTTATATTGTAGGGTTTTTACTCTACATATACAGTGCTTAACAAATTTATTACATCACCTGTCATAGAAATAAGAACACCCCAAATTCTTACATTAGGTGATGTTCAACTAACTTTGTTAAGCACTGTGTTATTGTGAATTGGCCCTCAATTGGAACTCATTTGGACTGAATTAAATTTCTTGTAAAACATAAAAATTCTCTAAATTGTCTCCACTGGAAATTTAGAGATATTTTTAAAACACGAATAAAATTTTAAGAAGAAGAAATTTTTCATGTCTTTTGGTATTCTTAATTGTCAGTGTATATTAAACAAGCGTGATAAGGCCGGGGTCTTTCTGTGTGGAGTTTGCATGTTCTCCCCGTGTCTGCGTGGGTTCCCTCCGGGTACTCCGGCTTCCTCCCACCGTCCAAAGACATGCAGTTTGTGGGGATAGGTTAATTGGATAATCCAAATTGCCACTAGGTGTGAATGTGCGAGTGAATGTGAGTATGAATGGTTGTCTGTCCTTGTGTGTTAGCCCTGCGACAGACTGGCGACCTGTCCAGGGTGTACCCCGCCCCTCGCCCCATGACAGCTGGGATTGGCTCCAGTACCCCCCACGACCCTGAAAGGGATAAGCGGTAGCAAATGGATGGATGGATGAATTTTGCAGATTTCACTGGAAATTTTTATTTAATAACCCCAAATTTGGACTTATTGATAACAGAAACAAGCTTCTACACTCATTTTATTTAGTTCCGTTAATTTCAAAACAAAGCTTCTTTTCCTTTTTCTTGACTAATGGTGTCACCTCCTGTAAGTTGGCATGACTTTTGAGTCATATGTATAAATTCTAAATGAGTGAAAGTCAGGGACTGGGCCAGATCGGACGGTCTGAGGCAGCATTGTTCTGGTCTCCACCTCTGTGTGGAGTTGCTTCCTTTAGCTCATCCACTCACATCTGCAGGTAGTTTGAAATCAAGAGGCTGTGCATTTAGGAGCTGTGGTGATAGATCTCCACCAGTTTGTATTCCTGCCATGGTAGTAAATGGGCTCTGTCTCTTGTCTTCATTTCTCTGCGTTTACTCTTTAGTAACTTTTGTATATTATCTTCTCTGTAGAACTACACACCTGCTACTATATAACTCATCTGGAAATCTTACCTCTCCCGTCTCAAAGAAGACCCACCCAGCTCCCCCTCTTCCCAGCAGCACTTTGAAAACAAATACTGAAAACACGAATCCCACCATCTGGCTCTGTTTTTGGGGCTCAGTAACAGTCGAATCATGGCACTGAAAATTCTTTTTTAATGGTATCCGTCATGTTCTCTAGGAAGTGGTTGGAGAGCTCAACCTCACAGCTGTGTAAACTTTCATGTGCTCTTCTACTAAAAACACTTAAAGTGCTTTACACAACTTGCCTCATTCACCCAGAAGATCCATTAGAGCTGATTGAGGAGCATCAGGGTGCAGAAGTAAGCTTGAGAGAAGGTGAGAAAGAAAAGACACAACCAACATGAGCACAGGGACAAACTAGGGTCACACACAACTTTATACAAGTAAAGACACACATACATGTACAGTAGTGCAAAGAATATTATGTAAAGCCGCTCGACAATAGTGGAAAGTATACCAATAAAGTGTATCAATATGAGTCAAAGTGTGCGTCTGCAGTTCAGCATCAACAAATAAAGTTAACAGGAGTTCATGTGACTAGTTCACATGACATAGAAATCAGCTTTTAAACAGAGTGCAGTTATGGGTTTCTTCAAATATTAACTAGGTGACAATAAATGTCCTAAAACCAAAATTAATTTGCAGGTGACAGACTAACAATTTAAAGACTGAGCTGGCACGTTGAAGCTCCAAAGACACACCCACAGATCCACCAATTAAACTGTAAACAAGACATAATCATTTTTTTAAAGAAAAAAACTTAAATGAAATTAAACATGAATTGTTTTTGAAGTTTTTCAAAAAAAAAAAATCCATGTTATGCAAAAACATGCAGGCAGAAAATGCATTACTTCAAAGATCAATGAGGAGAGAAGCAGAGGCCCCGACTTCTGAATCAAAACAACAACACATGCAGATGTTTGACATCAACGCCAACTACAGAAGTGACTTAACAGCAGTGAATCTTTGCACTCTGATGTAGTAAATAACCGGATGCTTGGACGTGATCACTAATCTTACCACACTCTTACCACACATTTACAGATGATTAAATACACAACTTCCTAACCACAGAAATCTGTGTGAGGTGGCATACATGAGATAGTGGCTTCAGTCTTTCCTACTTGCTGTTTTTGTTACAGTGAAGGAGACACAGGGATGATGCCTTTGTTGTTTTGTCATAGATGATGTGAAGGTAATCATTTTCATCAAGGCCTCATTCTTAGAACAGATTGCAAATGGTAAAGATGAATTACACTGGACTCACTGTTTCTTATACGAAGTAATTTTGATTATTAATTACATTATTGATTAACAACTGACTGAAAATCAGTATCAGATAATTAAAGGTATTTACAGGTTTATCTGACTTTTATACATCACATACACAGCTTCAGCCAAAGTGCCCACTAGAGGGCACACTTGTTCAAAAGTCTACAAATATTCTAAATCACAAAACTAATGAGTCATAATTCTGGTTTGTTTTTTTCAGATGTCAAACAAATCCAGATGCAACCTGAGAAGGGAACATGAAAGAGCCTGTGCATCAATCATCCAGGGATGAGGGAAATCTCAGATGGTTGATTCTGTTCATCATTACATTTATCACTGAGACATAACTTTCAGCATACTGGTTACTTAACAGCCTTTTGGAAATGATTTTCATACTTTCATGTTACAGTAAAAAAGAAATAATCCCCCCTTTTGTTGTAGATGCGTAGTATTAGATGGTGGGGTCAAGCCTGAAGCTATCAAATTGAAGAGGTGGAGGTGGAAGGACGTCTGGTTGGTGTACTACAACCCTCCTAGCTGCCTGTGGATGCTGGGAGAAGACAGCACTGTCTTATGAAGCCAAGTCAACCAGTGATACATGCAAACTTGTATCCTGGGGTCCGTTCTTCGTACCTCGCTTACTACATCCAAGATCAAATCATCGCGCTAACTTTGAGCTCGCTATTCCGGTTCTTCGAACACACCTGTTGTTGACGATTAGTACAGCTGGATGAAGTAATGTGAGATCACTGGGTGTCGTAAAAGGGGCTACGCATCGATAGTAGAAACATTGATCGGCAACCCTCTGATTGGTCGGCGAAAATGTCGAAGGAGCGCGCTCGGTATTTTTCGGCAGCAAGAACTCTTGATTGAGGGATTTCAGGAGTTTCATAGTTTAATTAAAACGCAAGGGAACACTGCAAAGGCTGCAAAAGCAAGGAGAGAGGGCTGGCAGAAAGTTGCTGACAAATTAAACTCGTAAGTAATTTAATAATAATAATAATAATGGATTGGATTTAT